TGCCAAGTTTGGTGAAGAAATATTGAATGGTTTTAGAGTTCTGCTCCGGAAAAGAGCACAACCACCAATTTCAGTCTAAGTCAAACTTGTTGCCATGGAAACGCCAAAAATATTTTATTCAGAAATCCCAAACTACCAAAAGGCACCAGTTCACCACCAGATCTATCTTTGTGCCAAGTTTGGTGAAGAAACATTGAAGGGTTCTAGAGTTATGCTCCGGAAAAGACAAATGTGCACGGACGGACGGACGGACGGACGGACGGACGGAGTCCATTTTAATACCCCCCGCAAAACGCTTTGCGGGGGATAATAAAGGGGATATTCATTATATATCTATTGATATTTTTTACATTTTAATGTGGTAAATAGTTTGCTAGTATACAAGGACATCTGACTGAGACTTGTATTAGTCGTTGAACGTCGGATGGCGTTTATTCCATCCTATTCCTACTTCAAGCTGGCGCCAAGTTTGTTGAGAGTGGTCAGCGGCGGTTAACTGTGGGGTAAGCACCGTCCAAGGTTGTCCCAGACACATATTACGAGTCTGTACGGAGTGGTGACCATGGTAAGATGGTCATGTTGTAATGGAGGTACTGTGGAACAATGTGTCTACGTCAGCTGCGAAAATGACGTGTGCCTCCAGGATGTTGTCACAGTCGTACTACCCTGCGATTGTAATCTGCTACTGATACACGGTAACACTTCTTGCCACAAATGTTCTGTTTGTAACATGGCAACTACACGTTGTCGCTCCTGACGCAGATATGTCAAAACACGTATAATCGAGTTTAAAACAATAATTTTCAGTGTGGTTTTTATCACGGATATGTACAACACCGGAAATAGACATGTTTCAAAGTTTACTGCATGTTCACGTGCACATCATGAAAGACGTTTGCATGAAATTGGTTATTCCATTCACAGTCTTTTCGCAATCCTTGTACTTGGTTTCCAGTTAATAACACCCCAAAATAGAATATCCCATACTTAAATAGTTTGTTAGTGCAACAACAGCCAAATTACAGGACTTCAAGACAAGCGTCTTTTCAAAAAAAGAAAATATCCTGACATAAGGAATTATGCATCTTGAAAAACCAACTGGCGATGTAGACCAATCAAGTTGCTTCATATAACAAGTCATCAGATGACATATCCCCCCGACCCCCACATCTTTGAAAGAACAAATCATCTGACAGTTACTTAAAGTCCAGCTAAGTGCAAATCATTTCCATGGAAATCATGAACAAAATAAATGACAAAAATCTGCAAATAGCCAAAGGGACCACTTCAAGATCTGCCTCACATATCTGCCAAGTTTTACTGAAAGATATTAAGAAGGTTTTGAGTTGTGCTCCGGAAACGAAACCTACCCTGCCCTTCTGCGACTAAGTCTGAATCGTTTCCATAGAAACCGAGAAAAATAAAAATGACAAAAATCTGCAAATAGCAAAAGGTACTACTTTGGGGTCTGCCTCACATATCTGCCAAGTTTTGCTGATAGATATTAAGAAGTTTTCGTGTTGTGCTCCGGAAACAAAACCTAATTACCTCCCTTTTGAGTCCGAATCGTTTCCATGTAAACCAAGAAAATAATAAACAAAAAGACAAAGTCATCAATATCCCCCGCAATGGCAAAATACTCTTCATGATTACGTCTACGAGTTATGTCAAATATTTAGGTGTGTACATAGAAAAGTGGAAGGAGAGTATTGAAAGGTTTTTAAAGTTCTGCTCCAGAAAGGAGCACTATCACAGATTTCAGTCCAAGTCAAACTTGTTGCCACGGAAAAGCAAAAAATATTTTATTCAGAATTCCAAAACTACCAAAAGGCACCAGTACACCACCAGATCTATCTATGTGCCAAGTTTGGTGAAGACATAGTGAATGGTTTTAGAGTTCTGCTCCGGAAAAGAGCACTACCACCAATTTCAGTCCAAGTCAAACTTGTTGCCATGGAAATGCCAAAAATATTCTATTCAGAATTCCAAAACTACCAAAAAGGAACCAGTACACCACCAGATCTATCTATCTGCCAAGTTTGGTGAAGAAATAGTGAACGGTTTTAGAGTTCTGCTCCGGAAAAGAGCACTACCACCAATTTCAGGCTTAGTCAAACTTGCCATGAATCGCCAAAAGTGTTTTATTCAGAATTCCAAAACTACCAAAAGGTACCAGTACACCACCAGATCTATCTATGTGCCAAGTTTGGTGAAGATATATTGAACGGTTTTAGAGTTCTGCTCCGGAAAAGACAAATGTGCATGGACGGACGGACGGAGTCCATTTTAATACCCCCCGCAAAACACGTTGCGGGGGATAATCACAAAAATCTGCAAATAGCAAAAGGCACCACTTTAGGATCTGCCTCACATATATGCCAAGTTTTGCGGAAAGATATCAAGAAGTTTTCCAGTTGTGCTCCGGAAACGAAGCCCGCCCCTCCCTTTTGGGACCAAGTCCGAATCGTTTCCATGGAAACAGTGAAAAATAAAAATGCCGAAAATCTGCAAATAGCAAAAGGCACCCCTTAAGGTTCGGTTTGATATATCTACCAAGTTTTGTTGATAAATATTATACGGTTTTTGAGTTGTGCTCCGAAACGAAAGCAATCTCTACTTTTTGAGACTAAGTCCAAAACATTTCCATGGAAACCAAGAAAAATAAAAATGCCATAAATCTGTAAATAGCAAAAGGCACAACTTTAGCTTATGTTTGATATATCTACCAAGTCTTGAAGAAAAATATTGAACGGTTTTCGAGTTGTGTTCCGGACGAAGGTCACCCCTCCCTTTTGAGATTAAGTTCAACTCGTTTCCATGGAGACCAAGAAAATAAAAATGACAAAAATCTGAAAACACCACTTAAGGTTCTGTTTGATATATCTACCAAGTTTTGTTGAAAAATATTGACGAAATCAATCTCCTTTTTGAGACCAAGTCCGAAGCATTTCCATGGAAACCGGGAAAAATAAAAATGCCCAAAATCTGCAAATAGCAAAAGGCACCACTTAAGGTTCTGTTCGATATATCTACCAAGTTTTGTTGAAAAATATTGAACGGTTCTTGAGTTATGCTCCGGAAACGAAGCCCACCCCTCACTTTTGGGACTAAGTCTGAATCGTTTCCATGGAAACCAGGATAAATAAAAATGCCAAAAATCTGCAAATAGCAAAAGGCACCACTTAAGGTTCTGTTTGATATATCTACCAATTTTTGTTGAAAAATATCGAACGGTCTTTGAGTTATGCTCCGGAAACAAAATGATTACGGACGGACGAGGCGACGACTATATCCCCCTGCATTACATGCCAGGGGCATCAAAAGCGTCATTCTCAAAATTCATGCACATTTCATGTAGGCAAAGAATGTAAATTTTGTTTGCTTGTTTTATCTTGAAATGTTGTGGATTACGTTTGTAGTTTTCCGAATATACAAAACATAAATTATGCCAGCTTAACAACATTTTACTTATCACATTTTACCGTTTTTATTAGAAATTTCATGAAATTGCGGCTCTTCCGTTACGAAATTTGTAAGGTTATTTTGAAAAGAAACAAATCCAATGCTGAAATCATTTTATGTACATATATATATTAGAATATCTAGTTTTACAAAATAACATGGCTAATGAGTTTGAAATTTGATATTTAAAAGCCAAAAAAACTTTTCATTTCTGATTTGCAAATTATATAGTAATATAAAGTAACATGTAGCAAAACATTCAAAATGAGAATATGAATTATATTATGCCTACTTGAAGCTCTACTACCAAACATACTTGCACTATAGATTCCAGACAAACAGATAAATCAATTTTAATTAAATAAGCAGAATGATAATGTCTTTCAGTGGCATTTAGAAGTTGTACATTGATGTCCAAGATATTTTATGGATTGAACTTCTTTTAATTTCTCTCCACACGCGTTTTGAGACCATTCCAGGTCCCTTCATCTAAGTTCACCTGATGAAAGGACCTGGAATGGTCTCAAAATGTCGTGAGAGAAATTAAAAAGAAGTTTAATCCATAAAAATATCTTGGAGAATGATGATGTTATGGCATGGAGACAGTGGCATAGTGACATTTTTAACAATAGCCAGTTCTATACATTTACTTTAAAAGCTGATTTAATGAAATTTGTCAGTCAGATATTTCAGATTGTTTTAAGGATATGTAAAAAACAAGTAAAGACTGCATGTTACGGCAGTGACATTGTAACGGAACTGTCACAGTATATAATGACACTACCGTAACGGCACTGTCACAGCCATGTTCTTTGTCACAGCCATTACACAACTCTGCCCTTACCGTAACAAAAATAATCATACTTATACGCTTATTGATTTTATTCATTTGATACAAAATTTTATGTTAAATAAGATTCCAAAACATTTGATATGTTTGAATTGAAAAATTAGATGCAAACATTTAACTTGAAAAATATCACTGCTCTCACAAAGCCTGTCCTTGCCGTAATAAAACCAAAAGATAACGACAGTGTCCCCAACGGTAGTGACAGCCACTAACAGTATCAGTTTTAAAACAATAACTGGTCCCCAAAGTATACTGAGCACATGGTTTCAAATGATATCCCCCCTCCTATCTAAGGTACTTGACGTTGTTTGACTTCACAAACTTAATTTGTTTCAGCGGTAGCTACCGTAACGGTTAGGACAAACAAAAATCTCAGATATTATTAGTTATATGGTGTTTTGAAAGGGTGTACGACTGTAAGATCCTTGTAAATTCCGTATTTCCTGAGGCAGAGCACAACAAAGTCACTTTCTTTCAGTCTGGAGTGGAATAAAACACAATTTACCCTCTTGGATCCTCTGCAACTTCAATGTGCTCTATTTGCTAACTTAAGGCACCAGTGTTGCAGCATAGAATGAATTCTATAACACGGCTTGCACATTGGTGGCTGCAGTGTTTTCACTCACTCCAAAAGGATAAGAACTGCAACGTGGCTTTTTTTTTTAATGTAACAGTAAAAGATTTTAACTTGTTGTTATCCCACATTTATTTCCTCGTTATATTATACACGGGATAGACGGTGGAAAAGCTTATTTTCCCTTCTTGGCCTTGATTTTCTTCATGTAGAACTCCAATTCTTTGCCTTCAAGGACATAGCCGTCACACCTTCCACACTGCCCAGGACGACTAGCTACCTTGGCTGGAATAAAACAGGCACTGTGAGTTGAATGATGACAGGAATTATATACCTAAAAAAATTTTGCATAACAGGCAAACACGGTGATACACAGCTCTGTAGTTCACCTGAAAAAAGTCATTGATATCCCTGACCTTTTCTTCAATATATTCATTTGATCACAAAATAAACAATATATACTGGACACTCGCAGAATCAAATAAATCAATAAAAAAGTTATCATTAATTCTAAGAACACGACATTTATTACAGCATTGCCATAACAATTTAGTTGCTTTCACACCATGAAAGCTGATTGCTTTGACAGAAACTGTTCACATATGAAACAATTTGAACAATCAACTGAGAAAACCTGACATGTTTTGTCTAACTATAACAAATATGGGTTTTAATGAATCAAAACATTGCAATGACATTTCAAGGTGTCAATAATGGTGAGTCCACACATAATTCTGCCAAATTAATGAAAATATTGCATAAAATGTTGAATAAAATTTAATAAATGAGATTTCAAACATGTACAGAAAAAATTCAGTCTTTCTGTAACCAGGAAATACAAGGACTAATTTGTGTACTTATGTACAACATCATATTCCAATATTGCATTATTTTTTTAATAGAAAATCCCCAAAACATTACATTGACATTTTATTAAAAATGCAACAAACATCACTTGTAATTATGGCATTTATGATAAATGCATCCTTTCTGTCAACTAAAGTTTGTTTCAATATTGGTAATCTAACTGTGTTTGCTGCAGTGACTGCCCATCAGAATGCTATGTTTACGTTATTGCTTGTACTGATAGTAACTGCCCGATTATCAATTATGAAAATACTTAGCTTCTCAGGCCTATAGTTTCAGAGGCTATGTAAAATGTGCAATACACTAGTAATATAGATCGAAGGTTGTAGCTAGATTAAAACTCCATATCATCAAAAAGAGTGTTAAATGTTAGAACACATACTTGCAGCATACTAAATTTATGACACTTGCTGGTATTTTTAACATATATATATATATATATATATATATATATATATTGCATAGATAAATAAAACAGAATGCCTTTTTTCTCCAACATGTTTAGTTCTTTACTCTTCAGGGAGATCTCCCTGAAGAGTAAAGAACGAAAAAAACATGTTGGATATTTTTTTATTTATCTATATTATTTATTTATACTATATATTTATATATATATATATATATATAATACCAGTATATATATATATATATTTGTATATATATATATATATATATATATATATATATATATATATATATATATATATATATATATATATATATATATATATATATCTGGACAATCCAACAATGGACATCATACATCAATCCTGAAGATTATTTCTAACTGGGATATTCTTAAGTCTGAGGCTTAAGAATTCAGTAAGACGCTTTTAGAACTGAAGTCATAAAAAAAGGACCAAGTGTAACGTTCTTAAAACTCTGGATCAACATGTCATATTTCTGATTGCAATCTACCTCCAACTTCTGCCAAAAGGTTTCCAGCTTGATGTACTCAACTATAACAAAATCTAAAACTAGGCATTAGATCTACCCTGCTAAGAAATTCCAAGAAATGAAGCCAACTGTAGTGTTGGGAATCGACCTCTAAAACCATAATCGATTATCGATGTCTTCTGCCAATCAATTATCGATAAATGATAAGTACTAGAAGTACATACTACAAGTATGGATTTATGAACACAAGAAGACAAAGTCATCAATATCCCCCGCAATGGCAAAATACTCTTCATGATTACGTCTACGAGTTATGATTATGTCAAATATTTAGGTGTGTATATAGAAAAGTGGAAGGAGAGTATTGAAAGGTTTTAAAGTTCTGCTCCAGAAAGGAGCACTATCACCAATTTCAGTCTATGTCAAACTTGTTGCCATGGAAATGCCAAAAACAATTTATTCAGAAATCCAAAACTACCAAAAAGGAACCAGTACACCACCAGATCTATCTATGTGCCAAGTTTGGTGAAGAAATAGTGAACGGTTTTAGAGTTCTGCTCCGGAAAAGACAAATGTGCACGGACGGACGGAGTCCACTTTAATACCTCCCCGCAAAACGCGTTGCGGGGGATAAAAAGTGTGCACTGTAGGGAAGAGACGTGTCCACCCATGTGTATTAATTATACTTGTTGACTAATGAAGCTGTGTGCTAATTAATTTGGTTCATCGCTTGTAAGTGTTTCAGACTGGCAATCAAAAATCACTTTACAATCACATGATTACATTCTTGTGAAACCTGCCCAAATTTATTGTGCACCATACATATATGGTCAGACACTTGTAAATTTTTACCCCTGATTTTGTCCATTAACTCCCCATTTTTCCCTCCCACATCTGCCCTTGATCTTTCAGGTGACCAAGTGAGATGCTTTTACACAAGTTTTCAATGGGTGCCAACAGTCAGCTCATTCTGAAGATTGAGAATGCAAGTTGCAGTCAAAACTACGACATGGTATCACAGGACACTACCTGGGCAGAACGCCAGACGTCTGTCTCCTCCATGATTATGTACAAATTGTCATCATTCTGCTACTTACTGTCTCATCTTGTCAAACCACCCAGACAATACTTCAGGAAAAAACAATATTGTTGCTAGCACACACCTACACATAAGTAACAAGTCTGGCAACTTGGCCAAATATATTACGTTTTTTAAGTTCTGCTCCAGAAAGGAGCACTACCACCAAATGCAGTCAAAGCCAAACTTGTTGGCGTTGAAACACAAATTATTTTATTCAGAATTCCAAAACTACCAAAGGCACCAGTACACCACCAGACCTATCTATGTACCAAGTTTGGTGAAGAAATAGTGACCAGACCTGTTTTAAAGTTCTGCTCCGGAAAAGAGCACAACCACCAATTTCAGTCAAAGTCAAAACTGGCATGGAATCCTAAAAAAATTATTTTATTCAGAATTCCAAACCTACCAAAAGGCACAAGTACACCACCAGACCTATCTATGTGCCAAGTTTGGTGAAGAAATAATCAAAGGTTTTGAAGTTCTGCTCCGGAAAAGACAAAAGTGCATGGACGGACGAAGCGCATTTTAATACCACACTAGTGTTGGGAATTGGTTAAAATCTCATAATTGATGATTGGTTCATTACAACTGATCAATCATCGAAAATAATTGGTTAGCGTCATTTATCAAATTTTCCGGGTTATGTTTGTTTGCACAAAAACAAAGAAAACACATGTAGTTCTTTGGGGGTTTATTTTGTTGCAAATTGCTCTTCTTTAAAGGATGACTAGTATGTTAGGAACAAAAATTTCTTGGTGTCTTTAAGATAAATTCAATCATGACTTGGAACGAGCTTGTAGTGCTCATGAAATTAACAGACAAAACCAACCGTGTGAAAAATATTGTTAATGCAAAAAGTGTTCCAGAATTGTTTGTGTTCGATTATGAGAACACATGATTGATTGCTTGGTCGTTTAAGTCACTACAACCAATCTTCGATTATTTCAATTAATCGGACCACCACTATACCACACACCACCCACCCCTGGAAACATGTTGTGGTGGATAAAAACAGGAAAGCTGGGGACAGTCAGCAGTAGATAAACATGAAAGACAAGTATGTGCGAGACCTTATGGCCGACTCTTGAAGTAGGCTCTGAAAACTGTTACAAATAAATACTTTTTTTATTAACAGATTGGGTAACCTTCTATGGCAATCAGAGTAACTATGACATGTACACGTCTCTGGTAATCACATTGCAAATACCGCAAACAGAATACCTCCAAGCATAGATATCATCATATTGCCATCCTTCATTCTGTTAATGAGCCAATCTAGAATTAGAATTTTGTTTGTGAAGAGACAAAGGGTAGCTTTATGTCATCTAAAAACAAGAGTCATCAGAAGATGACATATCCCCCCGGCCCCCACATCTTTGAAAGAACAAAGCATCTGACAGTTACTTAAAGTCCAGCTTGATTTTAGACTAAGTGCAAATCGTTTCCATGGAAATCATCAAAAAAATAAATGACAAAAATCTGCAAATAGCAAAAGGCACCACTTCAAGATCTGACTCACATATCTGCCAAGTTTTGCTGAAAGATATTAAGAAGTTTTCCAGTTGTGCTCCGGAAACAAAACCCACCCCTCACTTTTGAGACTAAGTCAGAATCATTTCCATGGAAACCGAGAAAATAATAAATCACAAATATCTGCAAATAGCAAAAGGCACAACTTTAGGATCTGCTGGATATATCTACCAAGTTTTGTTGAAAAATATTGAACGGTTCTTGAGTTATGCTCCGGAAACGAAAGCAATCCTTACTTTTTGAGACTAAGTCCAAAATGTTTCCATGGAAACCGGGAAAAATAAAAATGACAAAAATCTGCAAATACCAAAAGGCACCACTCATGGTTCTGTTTGATATATCTACCAACTTTTGTTGAAAAATATTGAACGGTTCTTGAGTTATGCTCCAGAAACGAAGCCCACCCCTCACTTTTGGGACTAAGTCTGAATCGTTTCCATGGAAACCGGGAAAAATAAAAATGCCAAAAATCTGCAAATAGCAAAAGGCACAACTTTAGGATCTGTTTGATATATCTACCAAGTTTTGTTGAAAAATATTGAACGGTTCTTGAGTTATGCTCCGGAAACGAAAGCAATCCTTACTTTTTGAGACTAAGTCCAAAATGTTTCCATGGAAACCGGGAAAAATAAAAATGACAAAAATCTGCAAATACCAAAAGGCACCACTCATGGTTCTGTTTGATATATCTACCAACTTTTGTTGAAAAATATTGAACGGTTCTTGAGTTATGCTCCGGAAACGAAGCCCACCCCTCACTTTTGCGGACTAAGTCCGAATTGTTTCCATGGAAACCGGGAAAAATAAAAATGCCAAAAATCTGTAAATAGCAAAAGGCACCACTTTAGGATCTGTTTGATATATCTACCAAGTTTTGTTGAAAAATATTGAATGGTTCTTGAGTTATGCTTCGAAACGAAGTCCACCCTTCTTTAAGACTAAGTCCAAAACGTTTCCATGGAAACCGAGAAAAATAAAAATGACAATTATCTGTAAATAGCAAAAGGCACCACCTTAGGTTATGTTTGACATATCTACCAATTTTGGTTAAAAAATATCGAACGGTCTTTGAGTTATGGTCCGGAAACAAAATGATTACGGACGGACGGACGGGCGGACCGAGGCGACGACTATATCCCACCGCATTATATGCCGGTGGGATAAAAAGAAAAAAAAGATTAACCTTTAAGAAGCAAAAAGTCCCTTCTCTGAAAATCATTTCAAAAATTCACCAGTGACATCATTGTGTGAAATTTCAGTTCTCATTTAAGCCTGAGAAAACTTGCCTCCATTTCACAGTGTGTGAATAAGTTGAAACAAGAAGACAAAGTCATCAATATCCCCCGCAATGGCAAAATACTCTTCATGATTATGTCTACAAGTAATGATTATGTCAAATATTTAGGTGTGTACATAGAAAAGTGGAAGGAGAGTATTGAAAGGTTTTTAAAGTTCTGCTCCAGAAAGGAGCACTATCACCAATTTCAGTCCAAGTCAAACTTGTTGCCATGGAAATGCCAAAAATATTTTATTCAGAAATCCAAAACTACCAAAAGGCACCAGTACACCACCAGATCTATGTATGTGCCAAGTTTGGTGAATAAATATTGAACGGTTTTAGAGTTCATTTGAATACGAGTTGAATTAAGTTGGATAGGAGTTACCAGTCCTTCTAACCCAAATAGAAAAAGGCTCCATAAATAAATGCCTAGTAAATTTACACAATGCTATAAGGAAAGTGGTCAAATGTAACACGCTATATTTGGGATTACGCTCTCCTTATGTAACAGGTTATATTTGGGACTACACTCTCTCAGTATAATAAAAATTCTTCCAGTTGCAGGCTTGTAATTAAATAATATTACATGCTGAACACCTGTTAGTTTACAGAGATATGATCAAGTCAAAAGTAACAGGAGAGGACAGACAGATGCACAAAGTGACTTCTATATCACCTTAGTTGGGGGCCTCACAAGCAATTTTGTGTCGAGTACAAGTAAAATCTTGGACTGACTCACAACTTATTCCATCTTAGTATTTTGAAAATGATCTTCACTTTTATTCATGTGACATTTGCAGCTAGAGGTTATACTACACTAAATGAGAATCGCTTGCTCACTGAGCGAGAAGCGTATGTAAACAAATGAAGAGATAGAGACATGTGACAGCTGTGATTGGATGAAATAGTGTAAGATGTTTATGTTTTTTAAAAGCATATCCAACCAGCAATTAAAACTGACCACAATTTTAAGTATTCAGTGCTGTCATTTTCATCACCATGACTTATGCTTATTGTGTGTACAGATATTTTCCAGTAGTGACATCTGGTGCGGAACTGGGGTTGATGTGTTCCGCTTCCTGTCCTCGCAAAACGAGCCGGACAAGTTGGCCTGATATTGTGTTTTATTGTAGTTTAAAGGCCAGAGTGTACCCATGTGTACATGGAATGGCTGTTGATAGCTTGTCTATTTTAAAAAAAATTATAAGGTTACTATAGAAGTCTATGGGAAAACATTTGGTGGTGTGTAACCTAGATTGAACACTGTACCCTGTACAATGCATTGATCACTAAGAATCCAGAAAGTGATGTTGAGAAAAAGGCAATTCCTAACAATGTTCATATATTCCTTTCACTAGTAATCTTCCATGTGCAACCAATTTATTGTTCTTATTTATGGAATGGATGCTTATTTCATATATAGTCAGAAACATCTATTTGACACAAAGTTTTACATTTCAAACAATAACAAAATCACAAGCTATAAATTTGCATACCCAGCACTCTGCCTGTAGCAAATTCTTCTTCAAGAGCAGATTCAACCTTGGCCGTCTTCTTTCTAGCCTTGTACTTCTTCATTGTTTTCTTGGAGCGAACCTTATTCAGAACTTGTTCCTCTTCCTCTGTCTGGAACAAATGAAATACCAGTGCTGAGAAGGAAAGAAGAAACTGTACAATGCACATCCAGTTAGCCAGCCTAATAAGAAACCTACCTGCACTTCATACCTAATGACAGATCTGAAACCAGGCAAAATGTGAGCAAGGCTCACTAATACCCGCAACCAACACTCCCAACTTCAGCTGTACAACAATTAAACATCATTATTCTTGACACGATTTTTATCAACTTTTGATAGAAGTCCTATGAGTCCACGAGATGTAATTTGTGATAATTCTCCATACATTGTAAATATCAAAACATAACCTTGCACTGCACCTCTCATAGATATGGGTGCGATCCCCAAATTTGAAAACATTCCATTGATATGTGTTGAGGTTATTGGGTTACCAAAAGATTCCTTAGTGTTTTTAAAGTTCAAAATGTGCAAACTGATGCAATCCTTTCAGAAATAGGAAAATCCAGTCTAAGTAAACTTAGGCTCAGTATTATTAGTTACACTGCTATACTGAGTCTACAAAACCTTGTGGAAGGTCGTGTCAGCTAACCTTTTGGACTGACCAATCAGAACACAGCTTACCAAATCGCGAAAGTTATCATTCGCACATACCGTTTGAACCTTTACCTAAAAACCTCGAACGATTCCGAATGCTATTTTTCGCACGATCGCTTCCGAGTGATACACGCAATGAGTATACAGTCGCTGCAAAATAGCGTTTTTGTCAATATTCAAGGATGTCATCTTGCGAAAATATAAGCAAATAGTAACCAAGTTATTAGAAACCCATAAGCGTATATACTGCAGGTCAAATATCTGTGTTTTATGCGGATTTTCGTTTGTTGATAGATCAGTGTCAGCGACAAGGGAAGAGAAAATTCAAAAACTGTTTTGTAAGTCCCGCCGAACCCTAACAAGTAGTTGTTATCTGATTGGTTAAATCTGTTCGGCCGTCTCGCATTTGATTGGACGGGCATAGTTCGCTCAAAGGTTCCCTGACGCGACCTTCCACAAGGCTTTGTTAGACTCAGTATAGCGAATAATACTGAGCCTAAGTTTACTTAGACTAGGGAAATCGGAACCATACTTTGCACTGCACCTCTCCTTTAGACAAAGGTGGTCCCTAAATTTGCAACCATTTTGACCAATACAGGGATTTACCTTGAGCCCTGTATTTGAGGGTCCCTGGGACTCATACTCTTAATTTTCAGGAGTCCTGGGGCTCCTTTCACGAAGCAACCTTTACTAAGATTAACCTTAACTCCCATTCTTTAACATTGCACTAAGGTTACCTTAGTGACTTACAATCACCTTAGTTCTTTGTGAAAGGAGGCCCTGGACAACAAAATAGGGGTCCCAGACACTGAAATATTATCATTAATACTGTTTTTGTATTGTGTATCATGATCAACACATTGTTACCGTAATTAAATTGCAAATGATACCATAACCCGGCTAGTAGCAGACTCGGTGATAACCTATTGTTACTTGATTGGAATTTTTACAAAAAGTATTTGAACTTTTTCAGCGTCCTTGGGGATGCGTTAATAAATTTTGTTGCGTCCATTGTCAATTTTTATGTGTATAGGAAGCAGGAATTCGCGTCCTGTAAATCCCTGCCAATACTTTTCAACTCAGTTACTGGTTGAATTAACTTTTTCTAAATTCAAATTTTAAAGTGCTGTAATTAAATACAGGCATCTCTCGGCCGTAGCCATAACGCTGGTCTGGGAGTCCATGGATGACCAAGGCGTTATGGGACACCCCCATTATACATAACACGGTATAAAGGCCAAGTAAAATCGTATTTGCCATGTGCATTGTATAACTGCTATTTCATGTATTATGCCTAGTCAAAACTATGTAGTATCGTCAAAGGTGAAAAAATAAACAAATAAATGAAAATAGGAAACTTGCAATCCAACATCAACAGGCATGATAATTCAATTGTCGTTCCTGTTGTTCAACTAAGCCAGAAATAGCCATCAGCTGTGCATACATGTTTTGCTCCAAACTACCGGTGATTAAGTTAAAAAAAAATCAAAAGAATTTCTATTCCTTTATCATGAGTGAGTGAGTGGACCAGACAATCCAGTGGTCAACAGCAGCATGAACATTCATCTACGCAATTAGGATACGAGCCTGACCACCTGATCCCATTAGTTGCCTCTTACAAAAAGTACAGGTTGTTGAAAACCAAATCACCCGGATCTTCACAGGTACACCTTTTCGACAAAGTAGCTGCTTTAAAACAGAATTGAAAACAACCCAACCAATAGTTTTTGGCTGAACACAAAATCTACGTAACATACCAGTTTGACAGTCTTCTTCCTGCCAAGAGGTGTGGCATAATGGGCCTCATACCACTGCCTGAAAGGGGTGGAGTCAATCTGTAAGATACAGCTCTTTACAAGTGTCTTGGTTCTTACGAGTTCATTGTTGCTGGCATTGTACACCACATCGATGATACGGGTTTTTCTTGTGATACCTGCAATAAATGAAGCAGTTACCATCTTAGTTTTTATTGGATACATAATTAATATTAGAATCTGTGTTCAGGGCTCGATTTAAGGAAGTGAAGCCTACTTGCACCTGGTGCATCCTCGGGAATTAACCTTGTTGCACCAGACACAAACAAGTTGAATCTGCTGCTCAATAAACAAGAGTCATCAGAAGATGACATATCCCCCCGGCCTCCACATCTTTGAAAGAACAAAGCATCTGACAGTTACTTAAAGTCCAGCTTGATTTTAGACTAAGTGCAAATCGTTTCCATGGAAATCATCAAAAAAATAAATGACAAAAATCTGCAAATAGCAAAAGGCACCACTTTGGCATCTGCCTCACATATCTGCCAAGTTTTGCTGAAAGATATTAAGAAGTTTTTGAGTTGTGCTCCGGAAACGAAGCCCACCCCTCACTTTTGGGACTAAGTCCGAATCGTTTCCAAGGAAACCGGAAAAAATAAAAATGCCAAAAATCTGCAAATAGCAAAAGGCACAACTTTAGGATGTGTTTGATATATCTACCAAGTTTTGTTGAAAAATATTATACGGTTTTTGAGTTGTGCTCCGGAAACGAAAGCAATCCTTACTTTTTGAGACTAAGTCCAAAATGTTTCCATTGAAACCAATAAAAATAAAAATGCTAAAAATCTGTAAATAGTTTCCGGAGCATAACTCAAGAACCGTTCGGTATTTTTCAACAAAACTTGGTAGATATATCAAACAGATCCTAAAGTGGTGCCTTTTGCTATTTACAGATTTTTGGCATTTTTATTTTTCCCGGTTTCCATGGAAACGATTCGGACTTAGTCCCAGAAGTGAGGGGTGGGCTTCGTTTCCGGAGCATAACTCAAGAACCTAAAATGTTTCCATGGAAACCAAGAAAAATAAAAATGCTAAAAATCTGTAAATAGCAAAAGGCACCACATAAGGTTCTGTTTGATATATCTACCAAGTCTTGTTGAAAAATATTGAACGGTGCTTTTTGGTATAGATAATATGTAATTTTTACACCTTGTTCTGAAAACATTCCTGCCAGCGCAATAAAATTGATATTTTATACTTATCCTGACTCCATGCTCTTTCCTGACTTGTCTTCTTCTTCTTCCAAGTAACATAGTGGAACACTTGTATCTCCTTATTTGAAGCTCCCTTCAAAGTAAAATCACTAATTGGTACTCACCACGAAGTTGCTCCCCTTTGCTCCCCTGGCGGAAAAGGTGTCGCCACCCCCTCTTGCCATGTGCTCCACTCTCTCCTGATTTTGCGAGCCCAACACTTGGACTTACAGGGAAATCCAAAGTGTTATGTGGGGAGGATGGGAGGGTTACTCTCATGAGTCAGGATAAGTATAAAATATCAATTTTACTCCAAAATTTATATTTTTTTCCTTATCCTGACTCATGCTCTTTTGTTTGTAGAATCCTAATGGAAACGGAGGTGGGAGTAACAGAATACTTTGGATTTATAATTAGTGATTTTGTATAGATGTAACTGTAATATCCCCTACGGGAACTTCATGAAGGCATAGACTTAGGATATTTCCTGTATTAAAAACCATAGGTTTGATAATGCCATTAAAAGGGGAATTACATTATTAATATATTGAACAATACATATAATATATATATATATATAGTGACTCTAATAGAGGCACTGAAACTGAACATATCATAGTATAAGCTTAAGGCTGAATAACTTAAGCTGAATATATATACATAGCCCTAATACTCCGTAGAGTTTTAAGCTAGATAAGTATGTATATAATACATATTAATCTTGTGAGGGTAATAGTTAACGCCTACGAGGGACTGTCAGTTGCTGAGCGAGGACCAGTGGTCCGAAATGGTGAATGCCAGAGACATCTTCTGTAGTGATGTCTCTCAGGTAGTGATTCGCAAACACCATGTTAGATTTCCAATAGCATCCTTCCATAATCGTGTTCAACTAACAGTTACCGCAGGGCGAGGGTGGAGGCCAGTGCCCTGATCTCATGTGGATTTGATGCTGTTGGTGGGTCCAAGCCTGCTGCCTTGTAGGCACGGAGGATGACAGTCCTTATCCAAATAGATATTGTGGTCCGTGACACTTCTGTTTGATTCGTGAGGCTTATAAGGGGATGAATAAACGCTTGAGAAATCTTCTCCTTGTTTTGGATCGTCAGAATAAACTTTGAGCCTTACTGGACACAGTGATAAGTCTTGTGTATCTTGTGATCCGAGAATAGAGGATAGCCGGGATGTGGAATAATCTGTCTGGTTGACCTGGCAGTTGATTTTAGCGATGAAATCCCATCTTAGTCCGAGGTGCGCTGTGTTATGATTGTCATCAAACTGTATCCTCTCGTAATCTAGAGCGTGAATTTCGGACATTCTTGCTGCCGTGGCTAGAGATAGTAGAAATAGTGTTTTCTGTGAGAGAAATTCAAAAGTTGTCGATTCCAATGGTTCATAAACCTCACTAGTGAGGTGTTGTAACACTATATTCAGATCCCAAGCTGGGGCGTGGAACTTCCGCTTTTGGTCCTCCAATCGGAATGCCCGTAGTAAGGCCAGTAACTCTGGAGATCTTGTCAACTTGACCCCCGTTCTCATGGTGATTACAGAACTAAGCTGCAAGATATGTTGATATCGCTGAACCTTTTAAATGTTTGTTTTGGCTTAAGATAACACAAATAGTCTGCCACTTGAGGTTGTGAAGCCTCTCTCGCTGTAAAACCTTTCTTTGCTGCATAATTTTCAAACTGTGCCACTTGTCGCCGCATTGCCACGAAGTTGAGTAACGTAAGCGCGCGACTGCTTTTGCCGCCTGGCAGAATATCCTCTCTTGTTTAAACACATTTGTATACAGTCCATACGCGTAGTTGGAACACTCCTGGGTTTCCGCACTTGTTTGGTGTGAGGATGAATTAACAGGTTTGCGCTTTTGGGTAGCTCCAGTGCTGGTTGACCGACTTCTTGAATTAGTATGGGAAACCACGTTCTGGCCGGCCAGTAGGGCCCGACCAAAGTGAGTTGTAGGCTCTTTGTTTGTCTGATTTTCTGTAATACTTGAGGTATTATTGCTGGCGGCGGAAACGCGTACGCATTGAGGCCTTCCCATGATAGACTTAGAGCCGCCCGCTGCCCAAGCTTGAGGGTCTGGGACTGGTGACACGAATGTCGGTAGCTGATTGTTGAATCGCGGTGGCTTAATAGATCTATTAGCTGGCCCTAATTGCTTGATTATCTGTGCAAATATTTCCCTGTTGATCATCCACTCTGTCGGTGATGGTAGATGAGGCCGAGAGAGCCGCCTGCTAGTACATTTCTGGCCCGGGAATGTGAACTGCTCTGACATGTAGATTTAGATCTTGTATTAGATCTAACAGTTGAAAGCTTAGGTTCAAAAGGTTCAGCGATCTCGCTGAGCCTTGCTTGTTTACGAGAACGCCACTGTCGAATTGTCTGTATGGATCATTAGGTGCGATTTTGTAGAAATGTGCTCCAATGTAGGATGGCGCTGATTACAGCTTTCATTTCTAGAATGTTTATATGGAGTTTGCTTTCTTGCTGATTCCATAATCCTGATATCGCGTGGGTTGGCTTAGATGAGCTCCCCAACCTTGGAGTGACGCTGCCTACATATAGATGGGTTTTGAATTCCTGCTCTGCTAAACAAATCCCTTCGCAGACATTCGATTTCTTGGTCCACCATAGTAGATGAGGTCTGAGATGTTTCGTAGACTGAATGGTTGTACATCGCTGAGATGTGCGCTGATGAGGACCTGTAGGGGACGTGAACTGTAATCTGCCTGTGACAGTCATGTCTTGGGCTGATGTGAGAAGACCTAGTAGGCTCTGCCATTGTCGGCGGTAACGGAGAGAGTAGAGCTGGTGGAATGGTCTGTTGTATCTTGAGCCAACGGTCTTCTGGTACAACGATACGGGTTATGATTTGTGATGAATCGAATACCTAGGAACTGTAGGTCTTGGCGATGGTACTAGGTCCGACTTGGCGTAAGTTTACTAACCATCCTAGTTGTGTTAGTAGCTTTATGATGTAATTTAACTGTAGTTTGAGACGCTGTGGATCTTGATCTACTTGTATCCCGTCGTCGAGGTAAAACGCACTGCGAGCCCTTTGACGATGTAGAAAGGTGATAATCGGGTTTCGCTATCCTCGTGAATAGCCAGGGGCTGATGATATTCAATGGGAGTACTTTCCACTGGTAATGTAGCCCTTCTAGAGTAAACCGTAGGTATTTCCTGGAATCGGGATGAATGGGGATGCAGGTAGGCATCCTGTAGATCTATGCTGCCCATGTAGTCCATAGGATCTAATCATCTGGCGAACTGAGGTAAATGTATCATGCTAAACTTCGTGGTTTGGCGAGATAATTCTTGTTGAAAAAGCTCATGTTGTAGATGAGTCTGTATTTCTCCGTGGGAGTTTTTCTTGGGAACTAGGAAAACTGGGGAGTAGAAACCTGGTTCGATGTTTGCTTGATCTATTACTTCTATGGCCTGTTTGGATAGGAGTGATGAAACAGCCTCTCTTAACTTTGGTAGTTGTTGCGCTTTGTAAATCGAACTTGAGGGGTTTGATTGTCAGCGAGGCTTGGCCTGTAGTGGGATACTTAAATCTGTTGAAGAATGTTGGAGACGAAGGGTCTTGCAATATTCCCCAGTTTTCCCAGTGTAGTTGGAGGCGCCCACCCACTTGTGCTGGCTGTACTGGAACGGCTGGGGTGGAAGACTCCAGTCGCTCCAACCTGTGTTTCAGCTGCCTATAGTTGCGGAACCTCTGGGTGTCCTGCCTCTTCCTGACCCTCCTCTATAGTTGCCATATGGGCTTAATTTAAAAGAATCTTTACCTCTAGAGCTGGCTATCTTCCTGTCTCTTGCTCTTTGTAGGCCCGTGAACTTAGATCTGCCTGAGTATCTTTGTGAAGTCTGACGAATGACGCTGGCTAGTGTGTCCATCGATTTAATCATAAGGACTT